TAATAATAATAATAATAATAATAATAATAATAATAATAATAATAATAATAATAATATTTATTTCCCGCTCGGCCTCTATGGAGTTCTGGTTACTAACAAAATCAATAATAAAAAAGCCTAGAAATAGAGAACAAAACAGTGGAGAAATGTTTCAGAAGCCCTAAAATTAAGTACCGTATTTTAAAAGCAGTTAGATTTTAAAATATAAAGAAAAGAAGAAAATAAATCCAATATAGGTAGCCCTCCTCCAGATTTAGGCAAAGCAACGAAAGGATGGTTGAGTTAGGCACAAAGAATCAGGACCATACATTAAGTTGCAGTTCAGAAAGATTTATTATTTAAGCCTATACACAAAAATCTAGTCAACTCAAGTTCAAATTTTCCAGATAAGGGTCAGTGAATTGGGAGGGGGTGGGCTGGACCTGGATCATTTTTTTTCATAAATATTTTATTAATTTTCTAGTTTTACAATCAAATACTTAATAGACAATGTGTTGTCTGGGTCCATTAGTAATTCAGCGGTATATATTAACTTCTTCAATCTGGATCCAATATTACACCATCACATGTGTCCTCTTTTCTTCTGGTAGTACCAGATTTCCCACACTAGGCAAATACAGTTCTTATTGTTATTAATAAATATACAATTGAATATCAACATCTTTGTTACATTTTTCTCATAATATCAATAATGTCAATTCTAGATAACTTTTCTAACCAAAACATATCTTAATTGCATTTGCACTAATAACAACAACAACAACAACAACAACAACAACAACAACAACAATAATAATAATAATAATAATAATAATAATAATAATAATAATAATAATAATAATAATAATAAAGTTGGAAGGGACCTTGGAGGTCATCTAGTCCAACCCCCTGCTCAGGCAGGAAACACTATACCATTTCGGACAAACAGCTGTCCAGTCTCTTCTTTAAAACCTCCAGTGTTAGAGCATTCACCGCTTCTGGAGGCAGGTTGTTCCACTGGTTAATTGTTCTAACTGTCAGGAAGTTTCTCCTTTGTTCTAGGTTGCTTCTCTCCTTGATTAGTTTCCATCCGTTGCTTCTTGTCTTGCCTTCAGGTGCCTTGGAGAATAGCTTGACTCCCTCTTCTTTGTGGCAGCCCCTGAGATATTGGAACACTGAGATATTGGAACACCTCTTCCTTCTCTTCATTAAACTAGACATACCCAATTCCAGCAACATTTCTTTATATGTTTTAGCCTCCAGTCCCCTAATCATCTTTGTTGCTCTTCTCTGTACTCTTTCTAGAGTCTCAACATCTTTTTTACATTGCGGTGACTTAATATCCATATGTTCAATCAGTATCCTGTTTTCACTTTTTTTTAAATTTTAATTTCCCATCAGTGTTCAAAATGTCTCTATTGTTTATAATTTCAACGTAAATTATATTTGGGTAACTAAAAGCTTCCCTTATTCAAACTTCTTAGCATTTTCCTGTTTCCCTTCTTATACCAAAATCTATTATTCTAGCTACAAATCTTATCTTTCTAGTTATGATAATACTTCTATTTCTAGCAATTGTCTATTCTCCGCCATATTCAAATGTAATAATATAATATCTAATGGATCAAAACCTCTATTTTCTTCAGTCTTACTCTAGCTTTCTTCCTTTGCCAACTAACTTTCCAAGCCAATGCATTTGAATCATCAGGTAATTTTTTCTCTGTTTTTGTGTATATTATTTGGAATAAGAAAGATTATTTGATTAAAGTATTTTTGGAAGAACGAACTCATTGTTATTCATTAAACAGCCTCCCTCCTTCTCCAATTCCCCACAGTTCTCCTAACAGCCCTATCTTCCATTCAATCAGTTCTTCTTTCTTTTCCTCAAATATGTCTTGAATTCTTGATTGGTAAGATGTCTTTTTCATTTCCAATATTATCGCTCCATCTTCTAGTTCTTCAGTTGTCTGAATCTGTCAATTGGTTCCTTCCTTTAGGTTCTCAATCTTTAGGTCCTCTAGTTTTCCTTCTATTTTCTGGGTTGCTAGTTCCTTCTTTGTAGTCATGTTCTGGGTTTGTAAATTTGAATTAGAAAATTGTTCTTTTATCTCCTTTGTGTTATTTCTAGTCTCATCACAAGCTAAAGCAATAATCTCTTGTATTGATTTTAACATGGATAGAATTTCTTTCTAATCTTCATCCATATTTTCTTGGTAGTATGTCAAACTGAAGATTTGGGGACAGGTGTTAGAGATGGTTTTTTGTCATTTAAAGTTGAGTATGGGACATCTATTTCATTTTTTGTAGATGGTCTTTATAATAAAAATTGTTTGTCAATCAAGGATTTGTAATCCAAAATATTCCATCATCTCAAGCAGTGAGGTGTATTTCTCCTGCAGGGAAATAATTCCACAACACAGCTCTGAAAGTCAGGTAATATTTATATTTGTAGTTCAGGCAAGCCAGTTTCAAAGTAGTTCATTGTCTCTGCCACATCAATAAGCAACTCAAAAGTTTTTGTATTTTTCCCTTTTCCCAGCTGCAGTCTCAAAAGTGAAAGCTTCCAAGCTTCCCTCTCTCATCGGGAAGGGTGCTTTGGGCAGTTTTTTCCAGGAAGAAGTCTTAAAGTCATAAAGACAGGATAGAATCTCACCCAGTTTCATACATATTGCTGAAAGGTTGCTTGTTAGTGCTTATTGTCTTCCTTTGTCAGCAGCTTCTGACTGGCCACACAAATGTAGCCAGTCTTTCCCCCGCCGATTTGGAGGGCTTCCT